AGAACTAACTAATTTTTGGTGATTCTGGGTAAATTTTAAGGTGGCCATTTTGGATTTTCCGTCCTCAAATTGTGTCAGTAAAGTCTCGTCTACTCATTTTCAGGATAACCATTTGACGGGATCACCCATTGGTGGGGACATTTTGTACACATTTATGTTCTTGTATAAATTTCTGTCTTTTTTTGAATCCGATCTTAAACCTGTGAGTAAAACCATCTATTAATTGTTTTGCTTTCTCTGGATAATAACCGTCAAGGAGAATTGGGAAGATTTTACAATTGATGGGATTTGTCCTTGAATCATATTTTAAATAGGAGATGTCCTTTTTGAGAAATTTATTTTCCCGATTTCATTTGGATGGAGTACCCGGCTTGTGTTCGTTGTTGCATTTTTTACACAGGTGTATGTATGCAATATTTTCCCCTGTTACATATCCCTTTGTTTGCAAAGCTATAACAGTGACCTTCTGGCGCTGTCTTGATATTGGTACTTGAGGTTGATTTGAATCCGCTACAAAAATTAGATTTAGATGGGTATGACTCTTGTTGCTTTGATTGCCGATGGCCTGATTTTACACTTTGATTAGATCTCAATTTCTTATACCCCAAGTGAGACTCGCTGATTTTTTGTGCAACCAAAAATTCTCATCGTAGAGTTTTGCAACATAGACAGAAACAGGTGTATTTTTACTTGGAGTAATACCTGTAGATTTTCTTTGTGATTTCTCACTTGGTCTTTGTAAGTCAGGACTATGAATTATGTAAGGACTTTGTATGTTGTCTCAACTTTGACCTTTGTCCAGACTTGGTAGTTTGTATAGGCTTTGTAGTTTGTCTGAACTTGTCTGTATCTTTTCTGGTCCAGTCTGTAATCTGGTATGTTTTCAAATCTTTCTTGGACAAAACTGTTTTTTTCCGAATACGGTCTTTGATATCAGTAGCTGTGATTGGTAACTGATCTGTGAACGACAACATATGTAGAGGTAATTCTGCACCATCTGACCCATCGTCCTCTTCGAGAAGATTCTGTCAATGAACTTTTCTACAGGATTTTGGCTTAGGTTTCTCTTTCCTAGCCTCATGCCATTTTCTAATGTCATCACAACGCGATTTCAGATGTCCAAGTTCACTGCTCTTATGACAAGTTGTTGAACGGAACCGGCATATATTTGCCTTGTGGTCGCCACCACATCTCCAGCAAGTTAGTTTATGAATCTGGTTTACGGATGCATTTGTTGATGTTTAAGTGTCAATTTTTTGCAGGAAGCAGTCACACTTTCCTCTGCTTGTGCTATAGATATAACTTTAGCAAATGTAAGTTCAGATTCTTGTATTAGTCGATTCTGTTCTTTCAGAATATTTAGTCCAACAACAAATTGCATACACAATGAGTCTTCTAAAAAGGTCCCAGATTTGCAGGTTGGTGGTAACTTTTTCCAATCTATGACAAAATTGGATATCTTTTCATTGGGTTGTCGGGTCCTTTTCCCGAATTTGTATCTTTCAAAGATTAGCAGAGGTTCTGGTTTGAAGTGTAACTTTAATTTTGTGCTAATATCGTCAAAAGTTTCATCAGAAACTTTATTTGGCAGACATACGTTTTTCAATGTGTCATACGTTTTTGCATCACAAGCTGCTAAAAAAAACACTTACATTTATCTTCTTCAATGTCATTTGCAATGATATATTGTTCAATCCTTTCTATGTAATTTTCAAATGGCTCTACCTCGCTGTTGAATTCTCCAATTTTTCCTATAGTCATTTTGAAACTTGTTTTTTCCAGAAACATCTCCAGCAAGTTAGTTTATGAATCTGGTTTACGGATGCATTTGTTGATGTTTAAGTGTCAATTTTTTGCAGGAAGCAGTCACACTTTCCTCTGCTTGTGCTATAGATATAGCTTTAGCAAATGTAAGTTCAGATTCTTGTATTAGTCGATTCTGTTCTTTCAGAATATTTAGTCCAACAACAAATTGCATACACAATGAGTCTTCTAAAAAGGTCCCAGATTTGCAGGTTGGTGGTAACTTTTTCCAATCTATGACAAAATTGGATATCTTTTCATTGGGTTGTCGGGTCCTTTTCCCGAATTTGTATCTTTCAAAGATTAGCAGAGGTTCTGGTTTGAAGTGTAACTTTAATTTTGTGCTAATATCGTCAAAAGTTTCATCAGAAACTTTATTTGGCAGACATACGTTTTTCAATGTGTCATACGTTTTTGCATCACAAGCTGCTAAAAAAAACACTTACATTTATCTTCTTCAATGTCATTTGCAATGATATATTGTTCAATCCTTTCTATGTAATTTTCAAATGGCTCTACCTCGCTGTTGAATTCTCCAATTTTTCCTATAGTCATTTTGAAACTTGTTTTTTCCAGAATTTTTGAAGTCCCAATTAAAGTTCAATTTTCTCCACTTTACAGTCTATTAGTACTTTATTTCACACATTGAGGTATTATTTTTCTGTTCTTACTTGTTTTGCTACTATCCTCGTCACCATTGTGAAGTTTGAAGTTTATATATTGCTATTGTACAAGGGGTGATCAATAAGTAATGGACGCTTTTTTACACAGATACTTTTTATAGACCAATCCCTTTGATTTTCCTACCAGTGATACATCATTCAATTATCTATCAATTCTGAAGATTTGAAGACAAAATATATAATATATGTTGATATATCCTTATTTCCGTGAAGGAGGTACAGGTACCCCGAGACCGACATTTACGTCACATATTCAGTTTTTAGCCAGTTTGGCAAATTTCAGTTAGATTTGAACTTTTTATATGCAACAAGTGTTGTGTTGTTTGACATTTTTTGCTGACTGGTAACACATAAACAGAAAGTATTGTGATGTCAGAGTGTTGTATGGAAGGGGTTTGCAGGTCAATTTGAGAAAGCATTGTGGAAGAAAGGGGTGGTGAGAGAAGGGAACACCCTACTCCATATGGACAATGCACCTGCCCACAGATCTCAAAATGTTCAGAAAACAATATCCCTGGACCTCAAAATTGAGCTCTTGGTCAATGCACCATATTGTGCAGATCTGCTCACATGTGACTTATTTATTTCTATACTACTTATTTCTATAGAGAAAGGATGCAGGTTTATTGTCATTGATGAAATAAAACAACCCGTGCAACTGCATCTTGCTACCATGTCAGAGAATGGATTCAGCCTTGTCTCACAATCTTGAGTTAAGAGGATGAGTAATTGTGTACATGTAGCACTTGATGGAACCTATGTAGAGGGACCTGTGGAATGAATGTGGCATGAATACCACATAGTGATGATAAAATATTCAAAATCAACTATGACATAACAAAATGGGGTAATTCATGACCATAATAGTTTGTTTTGTTCAGCCTGCATTCAACTGCATTGCATGTTAAACAAGCTAAAATAGCTTCAGAATGTTTGACGTAAATGTCGGTCCCGGGGTACCTACACATCCTTCACGGAAATAAAGATATATCAAAATATATTACATGTTTTGTTTTCAAATCTTCAGAGTTGATAGATAATTGAATGACGTATCATTGGTAAAAAAATCAAAGGGATTGGTCTATAAAAAGCATCTGTGTGAAAAAGCGTCCATTACTTATTGATCACCCCTCGTAATATGTACAAGTTTACCAATAACTAACACAGACATCATCTCAGTCTAAATCATGGTGGAATCTCTATTTTTAGCCTTATATGGTACACATGTGCTTTTTTCCAAGATTCCATTTAAGAGCGCAATCTATGAATGGACTCAACAATAATTGATGAACATTACACAACATTTAAACAAAAAAGTAAAAACCTCTAAATTAGGTTGATGGTGAAATGGTAGCATATTGCACTGCACACCAGAGTCATATTTGAAGGAGACATTGCAGCCATGTATATTTAGAAACATCCCTTGATTGGAACACAAAGATGAGAATACTGTTTATGAAGAATGCTTCAATGTCCTCTGTCTGTTCTACAGTATGTACCTTCTGATGATTGTATTCTTGTGGCATTTGTGAATAAAATGGTTGGATCTCTTGCAGTAATGTCACTGTTTGCCAAATGTGTGACACTGAATAGAAATTGATTGTATTCTCACTTTTGGCATTTGTGAATAAAATGGTTGGATCCCTTGCAGTAATGGCACTGTTTTCTAAATGTGTGACACTGAATAGAATTCAGTTTATGGAGAACCTTATAATCTGTGTGATTCATTGGGTGCCACCAGAGTCTGCCAAGCACTTCATATTCCACTGTGGCCAATACAATAAGAATAGAAAACAACCGTTGTTCACTCCTTTAGGGTAACACCTCACCTGGCAGATGCATGGTTGTTTTGATGGATCTGTGCATTTACTCTTGTGAGATCAAAGTAAAATTTGATAGTTGTAAAGAAACAATTATCCCCTATAAATGCCCTGATAGAAAAGATGGAACAATAGCTTTGAACATCATGCACACAATGAATATGTTTTCAAGTTATTTTGCTAATATCTGTAATTCTCATTCTAAATAACCATTTTTTCATGCAATGTAAGTATATGTATGCAATCAATATGCTTGGCCATAAACCTTCTTATTCTATATTATCACAGCTTGAAAAAGCTTGAATAATTGTTTAAAATATAGAAACTGAATTATTGCCTTTTACTATGAAAAAAGGTGCAAGTAGTTTAAACTTGAAACTAATGTCTTGTTTACTGGATAAAATATAACCTCCATCAGTGTTATTGCTCTGTCCCATATATTTGTCATAAGTATAATGATAGATTGCATATTTAGTTTTTAAACTAATGAGTCACAACTATGCCATACTTGACTATTTAAATTGACATACAAGACCCACAAGACCCACCTTTTGGCTACATAAGTGTTTTTTATGTGGAAACCTTTTCTTAAACCTTAAAATGTAGAATGCCAAACTCTGATCATAATTTAGAGGATTTTAGAGGTCTGAGACCAGTTCATGATGTATAATCTCTATATATTTGTGTTCTTCAGCCCAAAATTGCTGTATGAAGTAGCAAAGACCACAGCTCAAGAAGTGCGTGCTTTCAACAACTATTTTGAATCCCAAGGAGACTATGGGATGCATAAAGGTCTTAGTTGCTTCAGCCCTGTTCTTAATATACACAGACATCCTCTTTGGGGACGCAATCAGGTCAGTTCATTCAAGGATGTTATGTCACAGCAAGCCTATAGAGCTCTAGGTATTTCATTAGTTCAGTAGGCATTTTGAAACCCAATATACCTAATCAATATTCAATAGCCTCAAAAATATCTGTTTGATATGAGTAGAGTACATGTTCAGACTACAAATATTCAAGAATGCAAATCTTGAAATAATTGTTTGATTTTCCATGCTCTTTGTTGTGCTGTGATTAGTGGGCTATTTGTGAGCAAGTAATAATATGTTCTACAGATACCACATGTACAGTACTATTATATTTAATGCATTAATACAATTCAACTAGAAGTTGTGCTTAAATTTGGCTTTCAGGAGACCTACGGAGAAGATCCATATATGAGTGGCGTCTACTCTCAACATTTTATCTGGGGTTTACAAGGTGATCACCCAAGATATGTAAGGGCTAGTGGTGGCTGTAAACACTTTGATGTACATGGAGGGCCAGAGAATATACCTTCTTCAAGATTTGACTTTGATGCTAAGGTAAAATATGAAAGCAAAATGGTCAAGTGGAAAAAGAAAGTTTTAAAGAATTTAAACAATTTACTTTTTTTAAATATTTATTTTATTTATTTGCTAACATGTTATAACATTGGCATAATAAATTTTTAGCAGCTAAAATTTAATATACCGAAAATCCAAAGTATTTGATATTACTAACTGAATATTGTACATACTTAAAATAATTTTTATTACAAGCCATGGGGCTTGTATAATTGGCATAAAAAGTGTTTTACAGTGTTATCAAATAAAACATATAGATTATGAGGAATGTCTTAATATTGTTTCGGATTTCAAATGTTGCCCTTGTATATGGTGTAACATGAGGTTTCAAGAGGTTGTGTAGACAGAAAGCCATTTTTTATTAATCACACTTTGATGTTTCTGATTGGTGTTTTGTAATTTTACAATATCTCAGTAAATGTATTGTTTTACTAAGGTGTCTACTAAAGATTGGAAGGCAACATTTCAGCCTGCATTTAAAGCATGTGTTAAGGCAGGCACATACAGTCTAATGTGTAGCTACAACAGGTATGTTCAGGGTACTGAAGTATGAAACAAATTTGCTTTTCATATTAAATTTATTTGAACTATTGTGCACTTAAATTTTTTAACAATACTGTAATAGTGTAGCACTCAATGTTTTTTTGTATTATAAAAAACATATTACACATCAACTTCAAACCCATCCTATATAATAACCTGTTAGCAGCTCCTTCATTTTACTGACATTTCCTTTTTGTCATACTCACATAAAAATACTTACTCTGTATATTATCATTATCTCACATTTCACACTTGAAGATTATTCTGCTCTTCATTTGTGATATAATTTATCACAGTGCATCTTGTTATTTGTATTTCTAAATATTCATACATTCAATTATATCATTTCCAGCAAGACATTGTATTTTGACCTTTGCATTCCTGCTTAATACAACACTTGATAGTTGAGTATAGTCAGTATCCAATAGAAAATAGAGACACAAATATTTATATAGATTTTCCTTGTTGTAGTATAAACGGTGTACCTTCATGTGCAAACAAAGAGCTCCTTACTGACATCCTGCGCTATGAATGGGGCTTTACAGGCTATATAGTTAGTGATGAAGGGGCCATTGAGAATATTATCACTCACCATAAATACCTCAATGATAGTGCTGAGACAGCAGCATCTTGTATCAATGCAGGGACAAATCTAAATCTTCCTGTTCCCCCGAACATATATTTGTCTATTACCGAAGCAGTCTCAAAGGGTTAGTGTTTTCTCAGTGGAATTGCTTACCAATGTGCTTCAGTCAATGTTTTAAACACAGCACTAAAAAATTGACAAGAAGTGTATGCTTACATTCATCCACTCATCTTTTAATCACCCGCTAGATACAGTTTATCATTCACATTAAAACTGAATACCAAATACCTGAATTGATCAAAAACCACCCATGAAAATGCCTCTCCCCACCCTTACCAAGGAATGGCCGAGTGTCACCCTTACATACCAGCATTTATACCACAGAAGACTTGCATATTTAGTAATTGATTCCAGTATAAATGGTATCCCTTCATGTGCCAATAAGGAGCTACTTACTGACATCCTTCGTTATGAATGGGGCTTCACTGGCTATGTTGTCAGTGATGATGGAGCAATAGAAAATATTATTACTCACCACCACTACCTAAATGACTCTGTTCAAACTGCAGCAGCATGTATACACGCTGGTACAAATCTTAATCTCCCTATGGGACCCAATGTATACCTCCACATAGTAGAGAGTGTTGAACAGGGTGAGTTTCTAGTAATTAAGCCTTTCCTATTCACCACATAAACCCGATGCTAGCTTAGCTCAGAGTATATTGAAATTACCCACTTGCCTTGCCTGTTCATGTGTTTGTCAACAATATTTACATTTTAAGCTCTCCGATTCCCGTTTCTTTTCATTATCAATAAAAATAACTTTATGACTCCTACTTTAAAATCATGAACTATTTTGATTAATATGTTTCAAGTTAATCTTTCATGTTCTATTAAAAAGATTTTAAAGTCTTTTGAAACATGTGAAAAATGGGATATATGGAAAAATAATAGTGAAATATGGTAAAAATAATATTTGCTACTATTTTGAGTGAAATCACACCATGTGAGATCAAAATCCTGGTACTTTTTATTTATTCAGTTGAGCTTTCCTCTAATCACATGTACAGTTCAAAGCACTTTTTGTTTGTTCTTACTTTTATTACTTGTGGAGCCATAGGTTATGTACTATACTTAACTTCTGCTTGCTTTATTACATTTCTCATTGCATCCCACTTTCTCTGTATCTCAACAGTCTAATTAAGGTGTTGTGTCATGTTTATAGAAATATATTGCCAGCCTTCATACTTACAGTTTTAATATACCCACTTGTGCTAACAAGGATGCTAGTTATTAATGACAAGATATGTTACGAATGAGGCTTCACTGGGTATGTCATTAGTGATGACAGTTCTATATAGAATATTATCACTCGCCACAACTGCATTAAGGGCTGAGACTTTAATTCAGTTGCATAAAATGCTGAAACCAGAAGTAGCCTTCCTTTTCCCCACTTTCCCATCGCTCAAACAATTAACAATTTCATTAAGTAATTAAGCAAGCATAATGTACATTAAGTGTCTAGATACAGAGTAGATAAATTATAGTTAACACCTGTTCTCTCTAATCAGATTTGCTGATGAAACAGCCTTTTTTGGGGTTATCAAATTATTCTCCCTTAAATCTGTCAAAGCAGGGATGAATAACTCTTTAATTCATATCTTGCGACCATGAATTGGCAAATAAATGTAAAGAATATACATGCAGTATGAAATTAAGAGTAATAAAATCTGATATCATTGCTAACTGTATTTAAAAACATGGGACAGTTTCGTCTTAAGAACTTCACATCCTAACCCCATTTGTTTTTTGTGCTCTCAAAAAAACTATCCATCCTTTTTGTCATGTCATAGAAATACACCTTTTATTGATGTAGTGCTGTACATTTACGACATTATAGTGATTAAAATGTATTTTCTGTCTGCCTTTCCCTGTATCTGGCCCTAATAGTTAAGTTAACATAGTCTACAATTTTTCCAACTAACAATTGATATTGCTTGCTTGAAAAAATGTTAATTTCAATTTAAAATTTAAATCTTCTTTTTTTTTGTTGAAACATATAACAATTACATTTTAACATCATCATAATTGATGCTGTCAGGGAATGTTATAATTATAATGATAGATGTAGATAATACTTATAAGTTTATCTTTATTATATAGAGTTAATATCAATTATTGTTATGACATTATAACATCCTGTAGCCAATTATTGGCATAAAGATGCTTCACTATTTAATGGTTCAGGTCTAGTTACTGAGGAAACTGTGAAAGAGCGTGTAAAGCCTTTGTTCTACACTCGTATGAAGCTCGGAGAGTTTGATCCACCGTCACTCAACCCATATAAATCGATAGACAGGTCTATTATCCAGAGCCCTGCCCATCAAGCCCTGTCATTAAGAGCTGCAATGGAATCGTTTGTACTTTTAAAGAATGAAGCTAACATGTTACCTTTGAAAGGTTCTGTAAAATATGGGGCTGTAAGTATATGTATGTATGTATGTAAATTTGTTTAGATACATTATGTAACTAATAAATACCAGAGTGAAATTAGTTGTTTTATTCACCATACTTGTAGTGTTGAAACTTAGATTCGAAATGGGTTAGATTCCCTTGAATAAACAATTTGAACTGTACATCATTAATTTTTATTCATTATCAAGTTAAAACTATGACAATTACAACATTATATAAATCTCACTGTTGAATTCCAAATATTTATTAGATTCTTTTACAAATATCCAAACATTTTTTTAGTTTCATTGTAGGATTGTTTAGCTTGTCAAAGTTTGTAAGTTTTAATTTTGATAAACTGCTTTTCTGACAATCTGTTTTCAAATTTATGCAAGCTTATAGGTCTGACATTTTTAACGTTGGATTTTAGATTCTTGGTCCATTTGCGGACAATCCCGATCAGATGTTTGGAGACTATACTGCCAAACCAGATGCCAAGTATATCACAACCCCCATGTCTAGTCTTACTGATGTTATAGCAGACAAGACATATTACAAACAGCTATGTGATAACAGTGATCCTCATTGTTCTACTTACACACAAGCAGCTCTACAAGACCTGGTACAGTATGCTGACATTGTTGTGCTATGTCTAGGAACAGGTGATTGTGTTTGCTACATTGTGTGCTACATTGCCATCTTTTTATGAATTCAATCTTTTTTCAGCTTTTTTTGCTGAATTAATATGTGCAAGTAATGTTGCCATGCATCTCATTGATATGAGAAATATATCTGATCTGATCCTTAGTTAAGGTTTTTATGTGTAATACAGGACAAGCTGTTGAGGCTGAGGGGAATGACAGGCCTGACATGGAATTACCTGGCAAACAAAAACAAATGTTAGATGATGCCATCATGTACAGTAAGTATGATTCTGTACTTTGTTTGTGAAGTTTTTGATAACAATGAATGAGGAAAAAAACAAAAATGTCAGTTTTAAATCACTATACTGCAACTAATATTTGACACTAATATATTACGCATTTTCATGGCTATAAATTTATGCTAATTATTAGTCTTTTGAAATTTTGCAGCTACTTTTGCTTTGTGACTTCTAGAACCTGAAACCTTAATAAAACAGTACTTTGAACCTTCCTACCTTTAATCAGTCATCACTGGACAAAAATATTGAAATCATTGAGCGAAATAAATTTCATGTCTATTACATTTTGCATATAAGAACTATTTGAATTTCATGGCTATTGTATTTTGCAAATTTCCTAAAACTCGCGAAAAATGTGAAATATAGTAGCACGCAAAAATTATCAGGAGTACAGCATTAGAAATGCAATATTTTCATCAATACTTGAGTAATGTGTATATGTGATTGTTTACAGCCAAGGGAAAGATCATCTTGCTGTTGTTTAGTGCAGCCCCTCTGGACGTTGCACCAGCTATAGCTTCTGACAAGGTATCTGCAATCATCCATTGTTTCTTCCCCAGTCAGACTACAGGAGAAGCTATCAGAAGGGTTCTCTTCAATGATGGCCCTGGAAGTAACCCAGCTGGCAGGTTGCCTTTCACTTGGTACTCATCTCTTGAATATGTGAGTCTGTTATTTAATTGTTGCATTTTCAGATAACTACACTTTTTGGTAATTGAAAATAATTGCTCTTGTAACTTTAGTGATTTAGTAGACATTCTGCTTTGTAAAATGTTACAACAGTACATAAATAAAATATGGTTTAATTAAATTGAAATTGTTGCTTGTAGGTGTTACCGATCACAAACTACACTATGGTGAATCGAACCTACCGTTACATCCAGGGTGATCCTACACTGCCCTATGGCTATGGTCTTTCATATTCATCATTCAACTACACTTCACTGACCATCACTCCAGCTGTTGTTAAGGCAGGCAACAATGTCACTGTAGTTGTAGGTGTGAGGAACATAGGAAAGATTGATGGTGATGAGGTAATTTGGGTTTAAACTTGAATGTTGTGTTTTATTGTCATTGCTTTCTTCACATTCAAACAGAAAATACCTAAATCTTTTCTTGGTTTTTCCATTTAGGAAGCTTTATATTTAAAAATAATTTATAGGTAATACAGCTGTACATATCATGGGTTGGTGTCCAGGAAGTCATGCCTAAATATCAACTTGCTGGTTTTGACCGTGTTTTCTTGGAAGCCACGCAAGAAAACTGGTACAAGTTCACAATCACAGCTGAGCAGATGGCTGTCATAGATGATGCTGGCAGACAGACTGTTGTACCATGTATGTTTTGCATCTTGTTAAATAGAACTTTTAGATGTGTTTATATGTTAAAATGCATTCAAAACACTGTAACCAAATATTACCACTCCTGCTCCTTATCACATTTTTCTGGAGGTCCCCAGTGAGATTTTTATTATTTGTTTTGCATTCATAGTTGTTTGTTCAGGTAAGTTAAACTTATCTGACCAATACCATTGTATCCATAATGAGAAGTATTAGATACACATGACTCTGGAGCTTTTAATTCATTTATATATACTCTTCATTTATTTTCAGGTACCATAAATGTGTATGCGGGAGGACAGCAACCCAACCAGAAGGCATCAGTTGGATCCAATGTACTACAAGGAAACTTCACAATACAGGCATAGGGCAATACTCAACACTTCTAAAACCATTCCATTATCACATTCAATCACATATGTAAACAAAAATAGATCATTTATAGATAGGACTTACAAAGATTGGTCTAGCAATACCACCATGTATTACAAATCACACAAGCACTATTGATTCAATTGATGAATTAGACAGGATGTAATATGCAATAAAAGTGCCAAATTTAATGATTTAAATAATGAGTGAAGGATGAATAAATTGTATTAAAAGTACATTAATAAATGCTCAATATTTGGAGACTGTGTGCATTATGTACATTCAGTTTTTATTTACCTAATGTACACTATCTCCAATTTTAATTTATAAAAAGATATAAGATAATCAAATAATACATAAATATATTGTATCTTAAATACTTATTTTCGTGAAATCTTGGTTTCTCCTTGTGATTCATTAAAATGTCATTCAATCTGAATTTGTATATAGCTATGTTTAACACAATAAAGATATAAAATAAATGTTTTGTTTATCTTTTATTGCAGAAATATTTTTGAAAGTGTTTATAGTCCCAAATGAAGGGTTCTGTATGAAGTCAGTCAGTCATTATAGATCAGGTTTGATATACAATTGAGGATTCCTAATATCTTTCTTTGAAAGAGAGATTAAGAATCCTACCATGTGCAGCAGTCAAATATAGATGGCAGTGCTCCATTATCTCTGAAGATACAAAATGTGCAATTACAGTTTGCAATGTTTGCTATGTGGATATTTGGTGATCATTTCTCACTTAAATGAAGCATCTCTGGTCACTTCTTGACATGTGTTCATCAGCTTTTTGAAAAATACCATTTGTCTAAGAATATTACATTGTAAACTTCTCTTTTGATGCACATTCCTCAACTGTACTTATACTGTGTCTCCGCTCAATGTTATCATTTTCAATGACTGGTTTAAGCATATGTTTAGCTGGATTCGGCTGACTATTCTGCCTCATATGTGTCAGTAGTAGATTGCTTGTACTTTTGGAATATTCACTTTGAGAACTGGGGTTTTGTAGGTTTACCTCTGAAAGCATTAAGCATATGTATAGTGTGTGTTTTCATTTTTTACATTTTTAAATTCATCTAATTATTTATAAAGAATCAGATACCACTAATCCATTTCTGTTTAAATGATAATGTATGAATGTTTAAAAAGTGCCGTTTATATTTTGTGGAAAATGTAAGAAGTACATGTATATTCATAGCTATGAAGCACACATGACCTGTGTTTGAATGATGTTTTTGTCTTTTCAACCTTCTTACTTTCAAAATGGTGCTTGGCAATGTGTTCATGTCTGTTTCAATCTCTAATTTGTTAATTTTCTATATACATTTAATATGTGAGGTTTTCATACCATCTTCACTGGCAGCATAGTAAGCATTAACAAGTGCTGGAAATTCAGGATCAATTTTACCAATGTAGAGACCTTGAAGTCCCAGATATGGCACAATATATTTTGCAGTAAGTCTTTCTAGTCTCTTGTAATTTTCACTTGGTGGGGACCCATCTGGTATTGCCTATAAGTACACATTACAAAGATCTTTGTTGATATAGAAAACACTGCAGAAACACAGTGAGCACTATCAATCTTCATTATTCAGTTATAAAACTGAAAGTGTGGTTACTCTTTTGACTTCCGGTTTGGACTCCCGTGCAGAAAGCATGACTGCTACATTAGTAAAACAAAGATAAACAAATTTCCCTAAAATTTATTTATGGTGAAACGTAAGGTTATCATATATTAGGTGTGTACATTTACAGTCATAGTGAAACAAATTTGAAGTGCTATTTGTGATACTTAAACAACAGGACCAAAATGGTGCTTACAGTATTGTTCTTATACAATTTAGACAGAAAATTGATAACAAGAAAATTCCAATGGCATAGTTGTAGTAAAAGGAAGTAAATGAAATATAAGCTTGATTTCATAAGTCTGAAAAAAGAAAATGCATCCATCTTGGGCAGGAGCTATTATTAACTAATGTCAGTCTTGTAATAAACTTCAAAAAAATGTTTTTGGAAGCAGTACAAAATAAAGTGTTCATAAAATCAAATACCATCATGATTTATGAATAGTTCAGTGTCATTAAAACATTACCTGTAGCACCAGCAGCATCTGTTTCAAGGCAGATGATATCAGTAATGGTTCCTCAGATTCCAGATACACTTAAATAAATCAAATGGTTAGGATCCTATTAAATATGAAATAGAAGATTTGAGAAGAAAATACAACCATACCAAGGTATTGTATTAAAATAGTTGTAATTATCATTATACTGTACTAATATCCATAGCAATGATAAAAATAAATTTATGAACCATATCAATTCAATAAAGGATGACCTAAATGTTCCACGCCACGTCAGATTTAGATGTATCAATAAAGAATAGTTTTATTTTTCAAATGTGTCACTACTTTCCTGTATATTCATTTTATTCATTTACATGTACCTTCTAAATTTGAGTTGAAAAGAACCGTATCTCTAAATTCTAATAAAGTGGCTTGACGAACTGAGTATTTCTTTATCTGAAATAATGAAACACATTAATACACAAATATAATACAAAGTGCAATTAAAAGCACATAATCAAATAATTTATATGCAGGTGATGTTAACAGTTAAGAACAGTCTTGATAAATGTTTCGAATTAGTGAGAATTTGAATTATCTATTTGTAAGCAATAAATGTAGCATTGATCCCTCAAGTTCTCCCTTAATAGATGTTAGCTAAATGAAGTACCTCTATCGGATGTAGAATAGCCTGAAGTAGTGGAAGGATTTCTCTAAAGAAATAGTCCCAAGAATCACCTAGTCTTTCAAGTAATTCAGTATCTAAAGCGTACACAACATTTGTTCAGAAAATGTCAGAACATTAGGTAAAATCAGATTAAAAAAGACATTGATGTATTACTGGCACTGAATATCTAAGCTTAAGCGGCAAAATGGAAAAGTGAAAAGAGCATTAAAAACAACAGAAAAATCAACATATAAGAAGAGCACAAGAAGACAGGAAGTTTGTATTATATAAGAATAAAAAAATGTTTTCTATAATCATGTGAAAATATTTGTATTCAGGAATATGATCGTTATTAGTACTAATAAGTGCACTTACCGTGTAAGTGGTAATTTTGCCTTATCATTGAATTTGCCTATTGCCTAATTTTTGCTAGGTTCATGAAAATTAAATGTTGGAAATATCACCTCCATAATGTTATCCAATGGGAAGTTTCTTGTGATTAGCAAAATTAAAATTGGAAAAAGATTTTACCATTCTGCAAATTAACCACTCAGATTTAAAACCACTTATACAGTAATCACAATAAATACAATGGCATATATCATAACTAGTGTGCTGTAATATTGTTACAGTTTCAAAATGATTACCATTGTCATTTTTGTCATCTCCATGAACAAAGTCTCTCATATCTGCTAATGATCTTTTCAATAATTCATTCTGAAAGAATAATTTAGATTTAATTAGAATGCATTTAGAGATCTAATTATTGTCTAATTTAGTAAGACAATGTTAGATAGAAATATTATAAAATGCTACATGTACGTAAAGATACAGGAGGCCGTTTCTTAAAAGATTCGTTATTAACGTCATTGTTGATTCACTTGTTAATAACAATTTTTCCGCTTCTCAAAAGTTAACGATTGGTGATGACATGATTTTTATCGATTTATTCCATGATTGATTTTACAAGTACGAATGGGGGTCGCGTTATTCCATTAACGATGCGGTGTCCATAGAAATGAATCCTAGATTCGCTATTAACAATTTGTTGGGTTTGTGTAAAAAACTGGATTACCGGGTAACTGGGTAGCTGGGTACCCTACCTTCCTACCAGGGTTAGGAATTTGATTTTTCATTTTATGCCTCAAAACGCCCAACTGACATCCCAATCAACGTACCAGTGGCACAACCAATCAAGCAAACAATCAACAAAATTTATTTACCAATAAATCAACCGGCAAACCGACAAACAAAATTAATATAATGTCAATCAGTGAGGCAATAAATCAAGCAACTAACGTTGTATTGTACATCAATGAACAGATAAAAACGGCAAATAACGTTTCAATGTACGCGTACGTAAACCTTCCAGATTTGTTTAATATCTAGAAGAAATCGCCATCATAGAAAACAATCATCGATATCCTGTCAATCACTCAATAATCAATCTAACAATAAATCAAGCAACTAACATCATCGTATGTGTAAACTGTGCAAATAACTAGGACTTCCGAAATTAAGTCTCTTACAGGTTCTTGGTAAATGATGATAACGTAAAAAATATGGAGGGGTAGTCGTCTAAAAATGTGCAACTTTGAAAGTTGGTAACCCTGCAATAAACTTTAAGTACCCGGTTACCCGGCCAACCGGCTACCCAGTCACCCAGTTTTTTACACAAACCCCAATTTGTTAATAATGGTAAGTTTCGAGAAATGGCCTCCAGTTTATTGTTGTTGTGTTTACCTTATAATAGTCATATACATATGGTCCTACTTTTGAATTCACCAGATTTCTGAAACATATTTTTATGTAACACAGTCATTTGAAATTGGGATGAATATTTGTTTTGCATTGATTTTCTCTCACTTACAAAACAAGATAGCTATAGCATGTAATGTGAGAAACTTGTCTTTAATGGACCCTGCAGAATTGATGTTCTAAGCCTCTTAGAGATCCCAGGGGTCTCATTTACATTCTAGACAACCTGTTGTATTGAACCTGATCCATTCACAATTTAAGCAATGTTCAATCTAGATCCCACATATTTACCATAATTTTACATTCCTTTTTGCTTTAATAATTAATCAATTAACAAATACACAATATCCATAACTATGTCCTAAAACAAGAAGAACAATGTTTATTGCATTTTTCTCAATTCCCGATTCTCAAATGTACAACTATTCAGTGTTATAAATATCAGTCAGTGTTAATCCACTCAAGTGTCGCCTGGTATGCGAACAGTAAGTGTCGCAAATAATGATGTACACAGATTAGCCCAGATTCATTGCATCCTGACACGAGGGATGCATGTTGCCCCATCTCAAGGTCATCTCGCCATTTATTTTTTGTTTCGCCCATAAAATATGAGAGCATGCACAGATATAATGTAGAAATGAAGGAGGTGAAGGGATGTGATCATTTTGTTTCTAATTATCCCTCCGAACGAAGTTCGAGGGGGATAAGGAAAGCCATCTGTTTGTCCATCCATCTGTTTGGCTGAATGATAACTCAAATACCAGTTGACAGATTTGATTCAAATTTTATAGGCTTATGCATTATGGGGGTAGAACTTCTTCTGCTTGAGAAGGAATTTCAATATAGCTGCTTAATTCAAAATGGCTGCCATTTTTCGTAAACAATATAATCTTTGATAACTCAAATTCTACTTGATGGATTTGATTCAAATTGATGATGCTTAGGGGAAAAGTAGATTTTTCAAAAAAGAATTTTCAAGATGGTGGCTGAATTTCAAAATGGCCACCATTTTTCATAATAAAACGCAATCTTTGATAACTCAAATACTAGTTGACAGATTTGGTTCAAATTTTATATGCTGATGTCTAGGGACACAGGAGCTACACTGATGAAGATATTTTTAGATTGGCTGCTAAATATCACAATGGCGACACAGTAGCTCAGTTCAAAATGATTTTCAAAATGGCGGCTGAATTTCAAAATGACTGCCATTTTTCATTAAAAAGGAATTGATTCTATGATAACTCAAATGCTTATTTACGGATATGGTTTACATTTTATATGTTAATGCTTAGGGACAAACAAGCTCTGCTAAAGAAGGAATTTTCAAGATGGCCACTAATAATCAAAATATGTTTTGTTTGGTGGGATTTGCTACTCTGTGGAGTTGCTGTTTTTCTAGTTCAGCCAGTACAATCAAAATAAGAATATTTTTTCAAAAATGTGACGCACAACAGTCGTCTTTCAAAGCGACAGTATGGTGGATTACCACTGACTGAATATTGCAGACAAAACATGGGACCAATTTTGAGAAGTGCACAAACACAAAAGGCATGATGATTATTAAGACCAAATGCAGAATACAAAATGAATGTACATTTGTAATTTTAATAGAGAAAGAAGTTGTCATGAACCATTAATTCCATCAAGATATTTCACACTTTAAGTAAGCTAGGGTTTAATGTTCTAAAAGCATTAGGCTTGTGAACTTTTAAGGGAAATTGACTGTCAAGATTTTCCTGATAAACAGTCTGAGTATGGAATAAATTTCTGCAGGTCCATCAATTTGAGGCCAACTTTAAATTGCACAAAGGATGTAATAGGAGACATCAAGATCTTATAGCTTAACTTAAGAAAATTCTTCTGTATATACAAAACCGAGAACTATTATATGTTAATACATATTTATGCTCAATAATACAACTTGACATCACAAAGGTTTTTCATTATTTTTTGTTTTGAATGTCACTGTCAATAATATTTGGCTTTCACTAACATTATTAAAGAATTCAAATTGTCTGAATTGAGAAATTAATAGGAGACAAAAATGAGCTGTGAGTCATGTGTAATTGCCTATAATCTACTGTCATGGCCACTGTATCATATTGACTACTCTGGTAGATATTTCATACATATAGTTGCTTTATCATGTTTAAAATCTAAGAGAGTTTAAGCTTGCATATAAAATTGAAACGCCAACCTAAACGCAGGGCCAATCGCCCATACATATGCCATGCATTGCTGAAATAACATTCACGTTTAGGTTAACAGTGGTAGCTCAAACTCTCTAATATCTATGAGAAATCACACATGGTTACTTTTTAACACCAAATCAAGTCCGATCACAATTGTTTAAAACTAGTCATTAATCAGTGATAAAATATCAAGAGCATTGTACCTAATGCTCTTAACGTTGAATATCGAATCTTGCGACTATCGATAAGTGATTATTTTTTAAAATGTAGTACTGTTTTGGGCATTGGTTGTTGTTGTTTTCTGTGTTTTCTTAGATGTTAAAGTGTGCGCCAAAGTTTAAAACTGCGCAGGCGCACCGCTCTCGCTAAACTATATAAAGAGATTGCCCGGTACACGATTCAGAGGTAAGCCAGGAAGGCGAACGATCTTCGTCTCGTGATGATTTCCCATATAATCTTAACCAGGGAAGTTTCAACATTGAAATTGAAAATTACTATTAGATATACTTTGTAGATGTTATTTATGAAGCTATTTAGTGTTTGCATCAATCAAATGGCTCATTTTGAACATATAAAACGTATTTGTGTTTTGTTTCCCAGGGAATTGTATTGTATGTAGTACACACATAAATAGTGTACATTATACTTGAATAGCCTGGTTTACATAATATTGAAGGGCATGCTGATTACATGCACACGAGTACATGAATGAAGGCCTAATATTGATATACGTAGCTTGCATACCTAAATAAAAAATAAACTCTTCTAATCCCCTAATGTAAACACGGCGGTATACCTAGCCCGATTTATCGGGGACTTTAAGTCCCATGTTTCTATCCATATATAGTTTTAGTTCAGGAAGCTTCTGACAAAATCATGAATAATGAATCAATTAAGGTTAGCAATTCGGAAATATTTTTTTAATAAAAAAACTGAAATGTCATTTCGTCCTTGACACTAAGATTTATTGATCTATATAACATTACATTGTCACATTTGGTTAAACATTAGAATATCAGGAAATTTGTAATTTCTGAATGTACAAGATCTTTTATGCTGTTCCATCCCATTAAGGTAAGAGTTAATATAAGCATATGACATGATTAGTTTATCTCTATGTGGTATAAACACACTACTATACCTAACACCTAGAAATGCATAAGATACTTTGTTTGTCTAATTGGATTGTTTAGTATATTTTTGAAAGTACCTTATCAACATCTAACTTTCAACCAATAAACCATTTATAAGGAACAGACAAATAAAAACAAATATACAATCATTACTAATAAGCCAAATGGGTTGCTCATGAAAGCCAAATGCAAGGTATAGTAGAGTGATAAAGTAATTCAATTAGTTCATGTTACATTATTAGAAAATGTTTTGTATTATTGATGTGTCTACAATAACAATTGGCAATTGTACATAGCATCAATTATGAAAGTCAAGATATTTCCATGCATAATAATCCCACTAGATAAATAATATTCACCATCTAAATCTACCTATGTATACCGTATAAATCTCTTACCTAACATTGTTATAAAGATTGGCCAATTCCCCATCAGTAAGCCTCTGTTTCTGAAATAATTGTAGCACAGCCACCTGAACACTGTAATAAAGAAATAGCATGTGTTTAACATTTTAGTTATGAAGCAAATGCCGTATACGTAATTAAACTTGAATTTAGAAATAAGGAAAATATCAAACCTGTTCCAGTTTTCATTTCTTGGTACAGATGCAACTGATGGCTCAGGTTCTTGGGTGTTAGTGTTGAATAATGAGTTCCTCAGACTAAGGGATCGTGTAAATAGAGATATAGAAGTTCTGTTCAGAGAACCCCGTCTTAATGGACTTTTGTTAAAAAGGTCAACAGACCCAGCCAAGCTTCTTCTGCTTGAAAAGGAAGTCATTCTAATCTTTAAATCTCCTCATTTACATTTAGTGTAATAATCTTTTAATCCCTTAATCAGAATCCATTCTATTATTGTTTAGAAATTCTAGCCTCTTGATTTTGATAGTTATTTTAACATAAAATGGCCCATCAAGGCTGTTAATTTGATAAGTAAACATGATTCCATGATTGTAGATACTGATTGTGCCATTATCCTAGTGTGCAATCCTGATAAAATGGGAACACTTATATGCAGTATTTCCTCACTGAGTTTCAGTACTATGATAATTACAGAGCCAATATCTTCTCTTTATGCAGTACATCCAAATAACTGGTATAGATTTGAAGTAAAATTTAATATGTCCAATAGAATTTTACTGCACAATGATATCAGTAATGTACAATTGATAACAGTCATTATATGAAGAGCCTTAAATTGTACACTTCATATCTGTTAACCTCTTTATCTATTTTATGACACCATATACTGCTTAGCCTTATAAGGCCATACGAAATAGATTCTTTGTTTTGCGTCCCCTTGCTTGCACGATTTTGAGTAAATCAGAAAAAACAAACACATCCAAATAGCAATCACAAGGGTCTGAAAGTACCATAGCATTTCGTTCAATCAGAATCAGAGGAAATGGCGGATAATTTGATGTGTGTCAAAATTGACAGTATTATTGATGACTTTGGCATATATTGTTTATTTTCTTATTTTTTACCCTTGAATAATAGCTATATGTTTAAATGTATTGTATAAAATGTATAGATATATGTTTTTAATCACTACAAATTGGTATGTCATCCCTTTTTATGCCCTTGAAATGTATACATTTCTCAGCAAATAAGCTTGTGTTTTTTCCTGAGTTTGTGTTTGTTTTCCTTGTACCCTTGCATGATTTGGATTTTACCAGGACGCAAAACAAAGAATCTATTTCTTATGGCCTAATGTACATCTGCGAGAAATTGTTTCATTAAATGCATAAATTATGTTATATTATTTACTTTTTTTTAAATGTTATTTATCCCTTCATTGTTAAAAATTGTAATCTATTTGTTTAGAGCTACCGTCATATTCATTCTGTGTTTTAGTATTTAAGTGAATGTTTTTTGTCATCTATATTGTACTCGAAACAAATTGAACTAAGGAATCAGTTCATTGATGTTTCAATTAGAGATTGAAAATGTTGAAAAAATGTATTCAAACCTAAAACATCTTATCAACTATTAACTATATTAATAAGCCATTTTTTAATGCAAGCACCTAATTTTTTAATATGTACCATATCTTATGTATTTGTTTGTGAAAGTACCAAAAGTCCAAAACAATCATATTTCTAATTTTTTTGAAATGATGTTATTTTGGTGTTGCCAATTTGATCAAAATCCTTCAATTTATCTAGAAAATTTCTCGTATGATCTCAATAGTTCATCAAATTTATTGATATTTGTTACGTTTGTGCAGATTGCATGTTTCCATTTGACTATCAGTTGGGGTCTGTATGAAATATTTTGCAGAAATTTACGATCACACTTGCCTTAGAATCAATAAATTTAGATTACTGACCATTTCTATCATCTACAAAAGCCTTGACAGCATATTTAAAATATTTTTTATCATTTTATCAGTGTATCCTTTAAATAATTTTTTGAAGTCTATTTTGGTCTCTGTTTCTAATGCTTTCTATTAAGATTCTTAGTCCATCCATCTGATTACTCAAAGTCAAGGTGGAATGAAGCCTAGACAACCAATCATTCGAATCTTTCTGTTATAGCCCAATAAAAGTGATAAATGATGTTATAAACAAGGATATTGATCGAGGGATGGACTGACAAATAAAACTAAGAGTGCAACAGAGAAGGAAAACACAAATTAGAAAATCCTGATGATAGTGCACACTGCTTGATTTCTAGGGAAACAATAAAAAATTCCTAGCTTAAAATTCTGTTAAAGATAATACACATATGCTACTTATCTAAATGGTGTTTCCCACTACAATAAATTGATGATACATATACATTTTATGAATTCATTCTCATTTGTAATAGTCATTAAAGTCGGTGAAATTTGACTTCATGGTCATAGTGAAGATTATAAAGGTGCCTACAAGTATACTCATGTCTTTGTTACATTATTTCCATAGTGAGATCATTAGATTTCCAGTGCCCTTCATTAATCTAGATTTCACTAGATGCCAGATCCTTCTGTAATTTATTTAGTTTCCTTTGTCATTTGAGCATATGAATAGTAACAATATGTGCTTTAAGCAATCTCATGTATTGGACAACATGCCCTATAATGATGAACTATTGCAACAATACACAACAGAAATCCATGATACAAAAGATACATTCCTAATAACAATTAGCACTATTAAATATTAATTATTATTAATATTAAATAAAATTCTTTGTTAGCAAAATGGATACATTGAATGAAACAAATTATAAATGTCAATGTTTTACCAGTGTAACGAACGGCTCCAACCTCCGTGGTAGTGTGTTTGGTGTTATGATTTGGAAAGTTGGGGGTTCGTTTGTATATAAGGGGGTGAGACGTTTTTGGGCGTGTCGGGGTCGGTTGACACTTTTACTTCAGCCGAGTCTACTGCCTCTAAATAATAATGACAAACACAGTAATTCAGTTTACTTATGAAAAGAAATTAGCTCTATTTAGGCTGTTATTAGCCCATGAAGTGTTACAAAAATAAATCGAGAATGTCTCTAGCTTTGTATTGATTGTATCTCTAATGTATCAAGTATCTTGCATCCAATGTCTATATCTGCTTCAATAATGTCTATGAGTATATGGGTCTCTATATCTCTCCAAATGTCTATGGCCGTGTCTGATTCTCGGTGTCTGGCTGGTTTCCTGTTATAAAGGTCTCTTACTCTGTATCTGTTCCTCTCAATAATAAGGTTCTCTACTCGATGAACCTGAAATTACAATCCCTGGAAAGACAGGTCTGGAACAGAAGCTCTGAAATAGAATGCCTACAAAGCAAACTCTGAAATGGAATGCCTACAAAGCAAACTCTGAAATGGAATGCCTATAAAGTAATCTCTGAAATAGAATGCCTACAAAGCAAACCCTGAAATGGAATGCCTACAAAGCAAACTCTGAAATGGAATGCCTGAAAAGCAAACTCTGAAATGGAATGCCTACAAAGTAACCTCTGAAATGGAATGCCTACAAAGCAAACCCTGAAAATATATAGAAGGCAAACCCTGGAAATATATAGAAAGTACACTCTGAAATAGAATGCCTACAAAGCAAACTCTGAAATAGAATGCCTACAAAGTAATCTCTGAAATGGAATGCCTACAAAGCAAACTCTGAAATAGAATGCCTACAAAGCAAACTCTGAAATGGAATGCCTACAAAGTAATCTCTGAAATGGAATGCCTACAAAGCAAACCCTGGAAATATATAGAAAGCAAACTCTGAAATAGAATGCCTACAAAGCAAACCCTGAAATGGAATGCCTACAAAGTAATCTCTGAAATAGAATGCCTACAAAGTAATCTCTGAAATGGAATGCCTACAAAGCAAACTCTGAAATAGAATGCCTACAAAGCAAACTCTGAAATGGAATGCCTACAAAGTAAACTCTAAAATGGAATGCCTACAAAGCAAACCCTGAAAGGTAGAAGGCAAACCCTGGAAATATATAGAAAGTAAACTCTGAAATAGAATGCCTACAAAGCAAACCCTGAAAGGTAAAAGGCAAACCCTGAAAATATATAAAAGGCAAACTCTGAAATGGAATACCTACAAAACAAACCCTGAAATGGAATGCCTACAAAGCAAACCCTGAAAGGTAAAAGGCAAACCCTGAAAATATATAGAAAGTAAACTCTGAAATGGAATGCCTACAAAGCAAACTCTGAAAGGTAGAAGGCAAACCCTGGAAATATATAGAAAGTAAACTCTGAAATAGAATGCCTACAAAGCAAACTCTGAAATGGAATGCCTACAAAGCAAACCCTGAAAGGTAAAAGGCAAACCCTGAAAATATATAAAAGGCAAACTCTGAAATGGAATACCTACAAAACAACCCTGAAATGGAATGCCTACAAAGCAAACCCTGAAAGGTAAAAGGCAAACCCTGAAAATATATAGAAAGCAAACTCTGAAATGGAATGCTTACAAAGCAAACCCTGAAATGGAATGCCTACAAAATAATCTCTGAAATGGAATGCCTACAAAGCAAACCCTGAAAGATAGAAGACAAACCCTGAAAATATATAGAAGGCAAACCCTGGAAATATATAGAAAGTAAACTCTGAAATAGAATGCCTACAAAGCAATCTCTGAAATAGAATGCCTGAAAAGCAAACTCTGAAATAGAATGCTTACAAAGCAAACCCTGAAAATATATAAAAGGCAAACTCTGAAATGGAATACCTACAAAGCAAATCCTGAAATGGAATGCCTACAAAGCAAATTGTCAATCAAAGTCGGTCACCACCTCTGGAAATTCACAAAAGTCCTGAAAATACACCAAATTCTCGGCAATTGCACAGACTCTGGATCACCTCTGAAATCTCTACAAATATTCCAAGATCCGGATCAACACCCTAAAAATACACAGTCTGTGTGAATACTCCTAGTCCAGTCAGCATCTGAAAATACACAAAGTCTCTGCTCTGTAAGTACACCTGGTCCGGACAGCTCCTGAAAGTACACAAGGTCTCTGCTCATACAATGAGTCTGGACAGCTCCTGAAAATACACAAAGTCTCTGCTCATACAATGAGTCTGGACAGCTCCTGAAAATACACAAAGTCTCTGCTTTGCAAATACACCTGGTCCGGACAGCTCCTGAAAGTACACAAGGTCTCTGCTCATACAATGAGTCTGGACAGCATCTGAAAATACACAAAGTCTCTGCTCATACAATGAGTCTGGACAGCATCTGAAAATATACAAAGTCTCTGCTTTGCAAATACCCTTGATCCGGATCACATCTGTAAATACAAAGTCCTGAAAGTATATGCCAACTGGATTGCATCTGCAGACCTCGGAATCACTGAAAGAACAGCTTGATTCATCTGCAGGGTTTACCTGAGAGCAACAACAATCGAGAACACACCTGAAAATATACAAAGTCTGTGCAACTCAGCAAAATCTGGATCACCTCTGAAAATAAACCAACTCCAGTTCACATCTGAAAATATACAAAGTGCTGAAAACAAATAAAGTCCTGAAATAAAATCCCTAAAATAAATCAAAGTTCCAAACCAAAGTCAACTGAAATAAGTTGAAGTTAAATTCCACTAACAATTGTTATCCAAAATATATCTCTATAGAAGTATTTCTATTAAAG